AAGTATAAACTTCCCTCTTAGGACTGCTTTTAAAGTGTCCCAGAGGTTTTGTTGTTTTGCATTGTCCTTTTTGTTGAGTTGCAGGAATTCTTTTATTTCTTTTAGTTTCTCCTTTGACCCACTCGTTTACGAGTGTTGTTTAATTGCCATGAGTTTGTGTAGTGACTAGGGCTTCCTCCAGTGTTGATTTTGAGCTTTATTGCATTGAGGTCCGATAGAATGCATGGAATTATTTCAATTTTTTTTGTATTTGTTGAGGTTTTTTTTGTGGCCCAGTTTGTGGTCAGTTTTTGAAAAAGTTCCATCGGGTGCTGAGTAGAAAGAGTGTATTCTTTGGTGCTTGGATGGACTATTTGAAAGATGTCTCTTAGGTCCATTTGATATATGGTATTGTTTAATTCAGACATCTCTCTGTTTATTCTTTGTCCAGTTGACCTGTCTAATGGAGACAGTGGGGTATTGAAGTCCCTTACTATTTTGGAGCTGCGGTTAATCTGTGTCTTAAAGTCCTGTAGTGTTGATTTTATGAATTTGGGTGCACTAGAGTTTGGTGCATATTTGTTCAGTATTGTAATATCTTCTTGGTTAACTGCTCCTTTGATCAGAATGAAGTGACCCTCCTTATCTCTTCTGATTTCTGATTAGTTTTACTTTGAAGTCTATTTTGTCAGATAGTAGAATTGCAGCCCCTGCTTGTTTCTTAGTGCCATTTGCTTGGAATATTCTTTTTTATCCTTTCACCTTAAGATAGTACCTGTCCTTAAAGGTGAGATGGGTTTCTTGCAGACAGCAAAAAGATGGATTTCATTTCTTTATCCATTCACTTAACCTGTGTCTTTTGACTGGGGAGTTCAGTCCATTGATATTTAAGGTTATTAATTGAAAGATGTGTATTGGTTGCCATTGCTGTTTGTGTTCTTTGTCTAATTTTGTGTTTCCTCAGTGATATCTTTATTTTCTTTCATTGCCCCTGGGGTATAGCTGCTCCTTTCACCTCTCTTTGTATTGCTTCAAGTATTCTTTGAAGGGCTGGTTTCATGGACATGTATTCTTTCAGGCTCTTTCTGTCATGGAAGCTTTTTCTTTTCCCCCTCAACTATAATAGACATTTTTGCTGGGTAAAGTCTTCTGGGTCGGCATCTGTTGTCATTTAGAACTTGAAATACCTTGGTCTAGGCTCTTCTGGCTTTCATAGTTTGTATTGAAAAGTCAGCTGTAATTCTGATGGGCTTTCCTTTATATGTGACTTGTTGTTTTTCTTTTGCTGCTTTCAGTATTCTCTCTTTGTTCTGTACATTTAATGTACAGAATGATCAATACCATTAACCTGAAATTCTTCTCCTTTCTTTATGGCTATGATATGTAGATTTGGTCTTTTCATGGTGTCCCACATCTCTTGCATATTCCATTCCTATGTTTTTTTTTTTTTAATTTTTCATAGTCTTTGCTTGAGTGGTCCAATTCTTCAACTTTCTCTTCCCGTGTTGATGATACGCTGTTTTCCATTTCATTCATTCTAGCGGTGAGGCTTCCCCTGTTATTTCAAGTTGGCTTAATGAGTTTTTCACTTCCTTCTTCATTTCTATCTGAGTCTTCTTCAGTGGTTCTGTCTCTTTTGTGAATTCACTCAGAAGTTTATCCCTATCTTCTTTTAGTTTTTTGATTTGTTTGTTTGTGTGTTCTTTAAATTTGTTGAATTCCTTGATCATGTTTATGATTGTTCTTTTAAATTCTGTGTGCTAGGTTATCTCTAGGGGGTTCTCCTTGTAGAAGTCTTCTACAAGATTCATAGAGTTTGGTGGGGACATAGTGTTTTGGCTTTCCATTTTATTATTATTTTATTGTGATTTTGGCATTGAATTTCTTTTGTTGTTTTTGATTCTGATATGAGAATTAAGTTGAAGTATGCTTCTGTTTGTATTATCGGTGTGCCTTGGTCCTTTTCTTATTGGTTATATAAAGCTGGTTGGTCCAGGTTTCAGGTTCTCTCAGGTTTATTTTGGAGGGAACTGATGACTTCAGATCGCTACTCAGGAGCACCCACAGAAGCCCAAGTCAGGTTCCAGTCAGGTGTATTCAGGCTTTCTTCTAAGGTTTGTCCCCTACTAGCGGGAACTCAGAACAAAATTTGGGAAGTTTCCTAAGGGGGTGCTGATTTTGGGACTCTCAGTTGGTCTGCTGAGTTCTCAGCCCCTATGCCAGAGGGAGGCCGGAGCAGGCACTCTGTAGTGGTCTGCTGAGATCCCAGCCGCTACACAGATGGAGGTCGAAACCCACCCTTTTCAGGCTGTCTGCTAAGATCTCAACCTTATCCTACCAAAGCCAGATCTGCCCCGGGGCCTTGGGAGGGACCCTACGCAAGGAATCCCTGTTGCGGGGTTGGGTATGGCGCAATTAGGGGAAGCTCACTACCATGTGGAGGCAGGATCCAAGCTCTCTCAGTCAGTTCCCTGAGTTCTCTGCCCCTATGCCAGAGGGAGGCCGGAACAGGGGTTTCTGGGGGTTTGCTGAGATCCCAGCTGCTGCACAGATGGAGGTCAGAACCCACCCTCTCAGGCTGTCTTCTAAGATCTCAGGCTTATCCAATACCAGGATAATTATTTTTATTGATGGATTTTTTAACGATTTTTATTTATTTTTAATTATGTATATATGTGTATGTCTATGGTGTAAGTATATTTATGTATATGCAGGTGTCCATGGAGGCTAGAAGAAGGTGTCAGAGCCCCTAGAGCTGGAGTTACAGTTGGTTATGAGCTGTCTGTTACGGGTCCTGGGAACTAAACTTGGGTCTTCTGTAAGAGCCTGGAACTCAGTCTTAACCACTGAGCTATCTCTGCAGCTCCTATTTTCATTGTTTTGATTTTGAATCCTCTTCCTTTCAGTGCAGGAGGGAACTTTCCTGAAATACTAACTTTCCTTTAAAATATTCTTTTTAGCCAGGTTTAAGATTCAGCGGCCCACCACCACCACCACCTCCGCCGCCCCCTTTCTTGTCATGCTGGGTACCTCCATTCCCTTCAGGACCTCCAGTAAGTACAAATGAGTTCAGATTAAACTGCTTTCATATGTAGTTTGGAATTTTGTAGAACATACGGAATTGGAACATACCTCCTTAGGCCATCCCCAGGGTCAGGTTCTACTGGGTAAATAAACTAAACCTCAGTGTTTTTGTTTTGAAGGCTTTTTTTTTTTTACCTAGATAGAGTACTCTTGCAGCCCCATCTTGTGAGTGTTGTCTGGCTTGCTTCTTTCCTGGCAGAGGTTGGTATCTAATGTCTGACGTGGCAGTTTCTGTTAGAAAGAACCAAACCTCACCATACATACAGAATTAATGTTTTACCATCCTGGAATACTTAGATGTTAGCTTTTGATCATGTAGTTTTCTTTTTTTTTTTTTTTTTCCTTTTTCTTTATGATGACAGGGGTCTTCCTATAACCCCAGCTAGCCTAGAACTTGCTACGTAGACCAGGCTGGTTCTTATCTCACAGAGATCCTCCTGCTTCTGCCTCTCAAGTGCTGGGATTAAAGGTGTGTACCACTACACATGACCTGATCATGTAATTTCTAATGGTAGATTTTTTGTTTTGTTTTGTTTCACTTTTTAATTTTTTGTCATAGTAGATGTCTAATGATAGGTTTTTATGGCATTAACAGTGAAAAAGATACTTTTAAGCAGACTTTGTATTTGTGTGGTATAGGAATAACTTAAAAAATGGACAGAATCTGGATTAATGACTTTTTTTTTTTACTTTTTGAGACAGGGTCTCCCTGTATTCCCAACTGACCTAGAACTCACTATGTAGACCAGGCTGGCCTTGAATTCACAGAGACCCACCTGCCTCCCGAGTGCTGGGATTAAAGGCATGTGCCACTGCACCTGACTGGATTAATGACTTTTTAAAAAAAAATTTTTATTATTTTATGTGCATGAGTGAATTATTACCTGTATGTAGGTAGGTACAATGCCCCTGGACTAATGACTTTTAATGAGCCTTGCAACCAAAAAGCCACTGCAGACAAACTCACTGAGTCATATGCTCTTGTGACCCGGGCACCTGACTTAATTTGCTGCTCCACCTAAGGTAGTGAATAACTGTGGGTATGCTTGAGAATTAACAGATCAAAATGCTGAAGGGCAGCAAAAAAAAATGAAGATTGAGAGTGCTTGACAATGTGTGTCTGAGATGCTTTAGGCCTGTTGATGAAAGGGCAAGATTGCCTGATAAGGGTGGATCCAAGCTTGTAGTTCCCCAAAATTGATGCTGGAGAAATGATTTTGAATAAAGTTATAGGTGAGGCCTGGCTCAACAGCACAGTTCCAGGAGACATCTGGAGGAACAGGTGACCTGTGAGTTCAGGTCCACTCTTCTAAGTAAAGTTAATAGTCAGGCTGTTTATTGAGGTATAGATAGAGGATAGATGGATAGAGGGCAGATGTTCTACTCCAAACCTTTACTTATACTTACAGTGGCCTTTGATAATGCTGTGTGGGTAGTGGTGGTTTGTATGTTTGAGAAAAAACTAAGGTTTTACATTTTGTCTTTTATGCATAGCTTCATAATGGGACAAAAATAAGCTAATGATACTATTTAATTTTTTATGACACTTCTTTTTTATCTTTGTTAAATTTAATTTGTGGGTTTTTTATTGTTATGGTTGGCTTTCTTCAAGTGTTAGATTAAAAATAATTTAAATAGAAGGCATCTCATGTAGGAAAAGGTACAATTAGAATTCATTGGATTCTAATTGTAGAATTCACAGGATTTTCAAAAAAAAAAAAACTATAGAATTCATAGGATTTAAAAAAAAAACTTTTCCATTTCTAGATAATCCCTCCACCACCCCCCATATCTCCAGATTCTTTGGATGATACTGGTGCTCTGGGAAGCATGTTGATCTCCTGGTACATGAGTGGCTACCATACTGGCTATTATATGGTAAGAATTCTCTTATATTTTCTTAGTAACTCTATGACTTGTTGCTTGGTTTTTAAACCCAAGTTCTTGCACATGCTAGGCAAGTGTTCTGCTTCAGCCCCATGTGATTAAAAATTTATTTAATTGGTTTTTGTAGTGCTGAAGATCAAACCCCAGGACTTTGTATAGGTTAGGCAAATTCTCTACCACTAAGCTACACTCTCAGTCCATGGTTATTTTAGATACTAGGTAAAAGGTGGTTGGTTTGCTTGTTTTTGTTTGTTTGTTGTTTTGAGACAGGATGTCACTTTGTAGCCTAGGTTATCCTGGAACTTGCTGTGCAGATCTGGCTGTCCCTAAACTCACAGAGGTCCACCCACCTCTGCCTCCTCAATGCAGTGATTTAAGGTGTGCACCAGCATCCCTGGCTTGAGACAGGGTTTTATATAGCCCAGACTGGCCTCAGACTCCCTGTCTATAGGATGATCTTGACCTCCTGATTCTCTGCCTGCCCTTTGCCAGGACTGGGATTACAGGTGTGGTCTTGGACTTGCCTTGAAATGTTTATTAACATGTTTGCCAAGTGTGTACCTTATTATTTTAACTTTTTATTTGCTTTCCTTACAGGGTTTCAGACAAAACAAAAAAGAAGGAAAGTCCTCACATATAAATTAAGGAGTAAGTCTGCTATCATTATAAAAACTTTTAAAATCTTTGTATAAGTTTTACAGTTTGTGGAAAACAAATGTTTTAAAAAATATTTTATTTGTTATTATTATTATTATTATTATTATTATTATTAGATCTTTTTGAGACAGGGTATCCCTTGTATCCCCAGCTGGCCTGGAACAGGCTATGGAGACCAGACTGACCTCAATTTCACATAGTGAGCCCCGGGCCAGCCAGGGCTACCTAGTGAGAGACCGGTTTTAAATAAAACAACAACAAAATGTTTGGATGGGTGGTATAGAGGACTGTAATCTTGGATGCTTGGAGCTGAGACAGAAAGATGGCAAGTTCAAGGCCTACTTGGTTTACAGAGGAAGATTGTTTATTTCAATGAAAAAAGGTGCAGAACTGTATATTTTCTCCCCTGCCATTGTATAAGCATGTATGTAGGTATTTATCCTCTCAGGGCATTACTCAGTTGACCTCTGTAGAGGCACTAGAAGATGCTGTAATCTGAGAGACTTTACAGTGTACTCATTGTGTTTTTATAAGTTTTGCCCCATGTTCATTTATTATGAATTAAAACAAAATGTAAATAAAATAAATGTGATATATTTTTTCCTTTAAACTTTAATTTTTTAAATTGTATAGGTAACTCAGAACAGTGTTCTTTAATAGGTAAGTGCTTTTTCCTTATATCTTAAAATTTTTGTTACATGTATGTGTGTGTATATGAGGCACATGTGCCGTAGCATACCTGTAGAGGTCTGAGGATGACTTGCTGGAATGCTTCTAGCCTTCCACTGTCTGTTTCCTGGGGCTCAAATTCAGGTTGCCAGGCTTTGTGGCAAGCACCTTTATCTGCTGAACCATCCTGCTAGCCTTTTTTTCCTTATATCTTGAGAGCAGACCATGTCAGTGTATAAAACTGTAGAATACTGCAAGGTGTTACTATTTTTTCCCCCTTTTGTTTTTGAGATAGGGCCCTCCTGTTTCTGCCTTCTTAGTGCTGGGATCACATATATGCAACACCATGCCCAGGTCAGGATGTTTTTGTTGGTTTTTTAAATTTACTTTTATTTTATGTGTATGAGTGTTATGCCTGCATGTATGTAAGTACACCCATGCTGTGCAGTGCCCGAGGAGGATAATAGAGAGCATCAAATCCCCTGGAACTGGAGTTATGGACAGTTGTTAGCTGCCATGTGGGTGCTTGGATTCAAACCCAGGTCCTCTGCAAGAGCAGCCAGTGCTCTTAGCTGTTGGCCATCTCCCCAGCCTCAGGATGTTTTTTTTTTTTTTTTTTTAATTAGAAGAAGCATTTCATTACAACAGCATTAACCTATTCAATAACATTTTTCTGAGCTAGGGTACATCTCTTTCAAAATTGGCTGTACATTTTTAGGTTTACAGATGAATTGTTATGCTTATACAATCTTTTACTCATTATAAACTCTATAAGACATAAAATTAAATTGGATGTTTTTATATAGAGGAATATATACCATACTTCAGAAATACATACTGTGCTTAATAGAGTTCTTACAGACCAAAGCCTAGGTTGAGGTTTCAGTATAACTCAGGGTTAGAGCACTTGCCTAGCATGTACAAGGTCCCAGGATTGGGGAGAAAAAAGAAGGGAAAGTGAAATAAGCTAAGAAAAGATTTAGTTTTTTTCAAATCCTATGCTGTTTAATGCAGTATTGCTATGTGTGGTTTTTTGTAGAAGTATGACTACAGCTACACGATGAAAAAGTTGAAAATGGGGCTGTAGAGATGGCGCAGAGGTTAAGAACGCTGGCTGCTCTTTCAGAGAATCTGGTTTGGTTTTCAGCACCTCCACAGTGGCTAACAACCACCCTTAACTCCAGTTCTAGAGGATCCCATGTCCTCTTCTGGCATCCACAAGGACTGCATGCATGTGGTACACTTACATACACACAGGCAAAACACTCATACGCATAAAATACAAATAAGTAACATCTTTTTTTTTTTTAATTTTATTTTTTATGTGTATGTGTGTATTGCCTGCATGTAGGTAAGTGCACCTGTGTCATGCAATGCCTGCGGAAGACAGCAGAGGCTGTTGGAGCCCCTGAAACTGTAGTTATGGACAGTTGTTAGCTGCCATGTGGGTGCTGGGATTTGAACTCAGATCTTCTGCAAAAAAAACAAAACAAAAAACAGTGTTCTTAACCGCTGAGCCATCTTCAGCCCTGTAACATCATTTCAATATGTAGAAGTAGAATTGCTGGGTTGAAGAGAAAATATGTACTGAGAATTTTAATACATTTTTGCCAAATTGCTCAGTAGAGGTTGTGTTCATTTATTTATTTTTAAATATTTTATGATTTTCATTTTATGTGTATGAATGTATTGCCTGCATGTATGTGAGTGCACCCGTGTTGTGCAGTGCTGCGGAAGTCAGAAGAGGGCTTCGGATTCCCCTGGAACTGGAGTCAAGGACAGTTCGTAGCCACCATATGGGTGCTGGGAATCGAAACCAGGTCCTCTGCAAGAGCAGTCAGTGCTCTTAACCACTGAGCCATCTCTCCAGCCCCTACTTTATATTTTTAAAAATTTAAAGTTTCTGTTTCTCCTTAACTTGACCAGAGTCAGATTTTTGGATCTTTTTTAATCTAATAGAAAGTGGTTACCTCTTTGTAGTTAAGGGTCTTTGCATTTATCTTGTGATATTCAGCACTGTTGGCTGTGTTTGTATAATTTCTTTTTGTATATAGTCACATCATGTGAGATATGTTTATGTTTTTTATAATTTTTGCTTCTAATTGTTAATATTAGATCATTATTTGTGGATTCTGTACTTGCAAATGCTTCTAGTTGCTACAGTTTATCTGCCTGCAGCATCAGTCAGAAAGGGCGTGGTCTGAGTAACACAGGGCGGCATTCCCAGCTGTGTGCACAATACTTCAATTTTCTTGTTTTAGTTTTGACACTGTAAACAAATGTCTTTTTCAGAAGCAGTTTAATACCACATTTTTCACATTTTCATGGCTTCATGTTTTGCTTCTTAAAATACCCCCAAGCATTGTGCTGAAGTGCTCTCTAGTGTTCCTTAGGATAAGAAGGCTGCGCTGTGCCCTACAGAGAAAATACGTGTATTAAATCAGCTTTGTTTGAACATGAGATACATTGCTGTTAGAAAACATATTTCTTAATATATTTATGTGTGTTGTGTGTATGTGTTCACACAGCATGCTTGTGGAATTGAGAGAAAACTTGTAGCAATTGGCTGACTTGTCCCTCCATGTGGGTTCTAAGATTGAACTCAAGTTGTCAAGCTTGACACTGAGCTCCTTTATCTGCTTAGCTGTCTCTCTGGCTTTCTCTCTCTCTCTCTCTCTCTCTCTCTCTCTCTCCCCCCATATATAGGGGTTTTGTTATTTTTTTTAAGATTTATTTCTTTATGTATCTGAGTATTTTGCCTGCGTATATGTCTGTGCCCCATATGTGTGCAGTACCCTTAGAGGCAGAGAGGATGTCAGATCTCCTGGAGTGGGAGTTATAGGTATTTGTGAGTCACCATGTGGTTGCTGGGAATTGAACCTGAGTCCCCTGCAAGAGCAGCAAGTGCTCTTAACTGCTGAACCATCTTGCTAGCCTAGATAATGTATTTTCAAACAAAACACCTGTAAAACAAGATGATGTGTGGTTGAGTTGATGAAAGAGTGACCAGAGGCATCTAGAAAGCTACTTGTGTCTCCCATAGGAGCAGTGGTTCAGTGATGCACTGATTCAGTGTTAGTGGCAATTGTACAGAACTTAGGCACCTTAAAGAACGGGAAGAGACAGTATTCTTCAAATCATAAGCATCTTAGAGAAGAATAAAGGGACAGTAAAAAAACAACTTTCTTAGTAATTCTAATGAGAATTCAAACATAGAACACTCACATTTGTAGTCCATTCTGAATGTGATGGTCTTTTAAGTGTCACTGTTCTAAGCTCTTGTACATGAACCTGGGACATATTTACCCTACAAATGCTGACTCCAGGTTTCAAATGCACATGTTCTCGTTTATTAAGTTTCATTCTTCATGTGCTCACTTTTTGTTAAGATGCCTTGGTTTTTAAACTTTAGTGGCTCACAATTTTGGAAATATGGATGGCAGCTGTCTTCCTTGTTCTGTGGTAACAGCAGAATCTATGGTTACAAATACCCATTAGAATGGGCTTTTCTGCTGCTTCTGATTTTTCTTTTCTTTTTTGTGGTGTGGGGTGGGGGAGGGGCAAGGAGTAGGAAAGAGTCCTTCTCTACAGCCCAAGCTGGCCTGCAGCAGTGACTTAGAATAAATTCTAGAAAGGAAAAGCAAAAATCCCCTAGAAACCAAAACTCAAAGAAATGAAATAAACACTGAGATGATATAACAAAATATTTTAAGATAAAGGCTAATAAAACTACCAAACAGCTATATTTTATTTTATAACAGTGTCTGGACATTGTAATCTCTCAACAGTAGGATATTTGATTTGAATAATAAGTTGGCTCTGTGTTTTTGGTAAACCTCTACTTGTAAATACAAGTTGTTTGGGCTGCTTATAGAAAACAAAACAAAACAGAAAACTTCTAAAACTAAACTGGGTACAGACTTTGATGGCCTGTTGGAAGTTATTTTCTATTCTACTTTCTAACTTAAGAGTACTTCTTTAATGCCTATTTGTCTTTGGGGTAATTTTTCTTGTTCTGTTTTGTTTGTTTTTTTGGGGGGGGTGGTTTGCTCTGTGTGTGTGTGTGTGTATAAAACCTGTGTGTGTGTGTGTGTGTGTGTGTGTGTATGTGTATGAGTGTGTGCATGTCCTGGGCACATCTGTACAATTCTTCCACCGTATGGGTCCTGGGGACTGAATTTAGGTTGTTGGGCCAAGGAAAGTACCTTTAACCCCTGAGGCATCTCACTGGTCCTATTTGGTTTTGAGAAAGGGTCTCTGTAGCTCAGATTGTCCATGAACTTGAGGCCTCCCAAGTCCTAGGATTATAGACATGAGAGATACCACACTGGACTGTGGCCCTTTATTCATTAAAATGGATATTTTAGGACTACAGATTTTTCTGAGTAGTGCTATAGTTATCTTATGTAGTTTGCATTACCTTGAGTTCTTACTGTGATTTTCTAGAGACCCCAAAATTTTGAGTTTGTATTCAACTCTAGAAATGTTTAGCAGTATAATTCCCAAGTGATTAGATTTAATTTCTGGTTTTATATTATATTGTGAAGAAATGCCTATACTATTGTAGTCACTAATTTTATTTTATTTTATTTTTGGTCTTTTTTGAGGCAAGGTCTCCCTGTAGCGCCCCAGCTGGCCTGGAACTCTCTATGTAGACCAGGCTGACCTGGATCTTAGAGAGATCTACCTGCCTCTGCCTCCTGGGATTAAAGGTGTGCAACACCATGCCTGGCTGTCACTAATTTTTAATAAAAATTTTAACACATGATTTTGATAATTGTTTTGTAATATGTTTTAAATAGGACAGACCAAATACAAATATCTCTTAAAAGTTATTTATTTATTTATTTATTTATTTATTTATTTATGGTTCATTGAGACAGGGTCTCTGTTTCCCCAGCTGGTCTGGAACTCACTATATAGACCAGCCTGGCTTCAGTCTCCCAGAGATCTGCCTGCCTCTGCCTCCCAAATGCTAGGATTAAAGTTGCCACCATGCACAGCCTTAATATTTTTAAAATTAGTATTATATTGTATTTACATTTTTATAATAACTTTATGTTATATTGTGTTTTAAATTGCACTTTGTATAAAAACATGATTTGGGGGGTATCAAAGATGGTCCAGAGGGTACAGGCACATGTCAACAAGCCTGGTGATCTGAATTCAATTCCTGGGACCTGTATGGTGGAAAGAGAGAGCCAACTCTTACTAGTTTTTCTCTGACTTCCACATGTGGGCCCTGGCACTTGCACATTCATACACACATACACAAAATGTTTAAAAAAAAAAAAAGAACAATATTTTCTTATTTGTATCCTAGTTTTATTTACCGTGGCAAGCCTCTTGCTCTATGTTTTCCTCTTTCTTTATGGTTTTATATTCTATAACCATCTATACTTTTATTTCAAATTCCTGTTCAGCTCTCTCCCAAGGAGATGGTGTGTTGGTGTCCTGGCTAATAGGAACAGAAGTTTCATCATCATCTTCACAGACACTTGGTTGAGTGACCTCGTCATCGGAGTTTTCCCATTCCATGGGCTCCTTGCCTAAATAGACGAAGTGTGTTTAGTGCATAATCAGTTTGAAGAACTGAACGGTGGAAATACAAATGCATAGAGGTCAACCTGCCAAAATTGTGATGGAGCACAATTGTGAAATTGTAACTTTCTTCATATCTCAAGGTTTTTATTAATGCCTTTAAATATAAATAAAAATCCTTTTTTGAAACTGGCTCTAAGTTTTCTCTGGAATATACAGTGAAATTGAGTCTGTTTAAAGATACAGGGAGAAAACTACTCAGGCTTACTTGGGTAAAGAGTGATTTCTGGAGGTAGAACAAAGTGATAATCTAAGGCTGGAGAGGAAAAACTAGCTGAAGTAGTATCAGGAATCAAGCTGACCTCTGGCCTCCGTGCACATGGACATGGACACCTGTACAGTCAAAATAGAAAATGGTTTATTTTGGATGCATTCCAAAGATTTTTGGCTCACAGTTCTGGGGGTCAGGTTGAGGGACTGTACTGATAGCCTTGCTGGCAAACTGTTGATGAGCCAGGCATAACATTGCAAGAAACAAAGAGTGTGGTTTGGGTGTGTGTGTGTGTGTGTGTATGTGGTGTGCGTGTGTGCCCTTCTTGGTCTAAAGAAGCCACCAGCATTCAATGGGAGCATCACCTTGATGACTTACCTTAATTGCCTTCTAGAGATCCCACCTCTATTAATACAGTGAATTAGCTCCCCACTCCTAGTTTCTTACAGTGGGGATTGGTTTTAGCTCATCAACTTCTCAGAAACACTCAAATCATTTCCAAACCATAGCAAGGGAGAACTAATGGGGAAAAGGAAAGGGCAACTGCAAAGGCCCTTGGACAAGAATATTTGTGGAACAAGGAGGCCACTGTGGCCAGAATGAGAGGAAGGAGAGACTACAGGGGGGAAGAGGAGGTAGCCACTTGAAGTCGATAGCTTTTACTGTGAGCTGGGAGTCCAGTGGAGGATTGTGAGGCAGTAGAGCATGATTAGCTTCCAGGAAGAGCCTGCTGACGCTATGCTTCAAGGAACGAAGCAGGCTAACCAGGCAGGAGTGGCTGTATTTGCAAGAGGAATCATGGAATATAAAAGACAAGGTTAACTAAGGGTTTCACTGAGAAACAGAACAAAGTGAGTATTTCATGAGAAATGTGGCATAACCATGCCAGCATTACAGTTATACCTGAATTAAGAGCCTGACTCAAATTAAGAGTGGGTTTGAACTGAGTATACCTGTTCCTCCAGATGTCTCCTGGAACTGTGCTGTTGAGCCTGGCCTCACCCATGATTTCAAAACCATTTCTCCAGCATCAGTTTTGGAGAACTACAAGCTTGGATCCACTCTTACCAGTCAATCTTGTCCTTTATCCCTAGGTGTAAAGCATCTCAGACACATAATGGCAATCTTCATTGTTTTCGGTGAAGATGTGCTGCCTTTCAGCACTTTAATTCTCAAGGATACCCACATTTATCCACTATCTTGAGTGGAGCAAGGTCAGGTACTGAGATCACAAGAGCACACGGTTCTATGAGTGTTTGCAATGACTTTTTGGTTGCAAGGTTAATTAAAATCATTAGTCCAGATGGATTTTATAAGTCATTCCTACCTAGTACTTTTGTGGAGGGGAAGGTTAAGAGTGAGGTTTTGTAGATGTGACATTTGCAATGCCCTTTAGAGGAATTGGGCATGAGTAGGTTCAGGTCTGGGTCTTGGCTGCAGTTGGGAATGAAGGAGGTAGTGTAGATGTGGAATTTAAAGCCATTCAACTGGATGAGGTGATCCAGGATGTACACTTACATAGAGACAGTGTCAGGACAACTCGGATCCTCCCAATGGTTAGAGATGAGATCGGAGAAACAGCAGAGGGACTGAGCTGGAGCTTTGTGAGGAGGAAACGGGGTTGGGGTGGGGTGGGGCGTGTACGCCCTGGAGCTGGGTGAGGACAGTGTTCTAAGGAGGAGAGTGATGAGCTTCAGAGTAACCAGCAGCTCAGATGCTGCTAACAGAACCAGTGAGATGAAGACTGAGAAGAGTGCACTGACAACTGAAGTGGAGGTAACCAGTGATGCTCACAAAGCTCTTTTTGTGGAGTAGAGGAGATAGAAGCCTGGAGAGGATGGGGCAGGAACATTCTCCGTGCACACACAGAACTCTTTCAGGGAAATTTGTTTTCTGGATTTCTGTTATATTTGAATCTTAATGAAATCATTTGAACAAAAAAATATTTGACAGCTGTTTTTCATGAGATTATAGGTTTTGGTTTTTTTTGTTTTGGTCTTTTTGAGACAGGGTCACCCTGCAGCCCCAGCTGGCCTGGAACTCACTGTGTAGACCTGGCTGGCCTTGAACTTACAGTATAGTTATTTTGTAATGTTAACTTGTATTAGCTGTTGTCCATGTCTATAGACTGTTTTGAAACAAAATTTATTTCCTTCAGTGGGTCATAGTAAAGAGGAAAAAAATGCTTGAAAATGAAGGAACTCTTGTAAGAAGGTGCAGGGAGTGTTCAGAAATGCAGCTGAAGATTGAGGGGGTTCTGCCCGTGAGGGCGCCATGAAAGGTTTCAGGAAGTTGGATTTGGCATATGATCAGAAAGGCCAGACAGAAATTTAGTTTTTCCCTTTTCTTCTGAAGTACTGGGACTAAACCAGGATCCCTGAACTGTTAGAAACTGCCTCTGCCCCTTTTTTTCTAAGCTAGGGATCGCCTTCAGGGCCTTGAAAAAGCTGGACCAGTGCTCCATCACTGAGTAATGTCCTTAGCTTTATATATATATATTTATATATAATGTTTTTTATTTTATGTGTCTGAGTGTATGCATTTATGTAAGTGTACCCAATGCCCACAGTGCAATGCCCACGTGCAATGCCCGCGGTGGTCAGAACTGGAACTGGAGTTAGCCATTATGTAGGTTCTGGGAATCGAACCCAGGTCCTCTGCAAGAGAAGCCAGTGCTCTTAACTGCTGAGCCATCTCTCCAGCCCCCATCCTCAGCTTTCTAAATATTTTTAGGCATTCTTGCTACAGTGTTCTGGGATTTGTGATTCTCCTGCCTCAACCTCCTGAGTATCAGGGTTTACAGATGTGCGCCGCCTGGCTCAGCTAACCTAGATTCTTTTCCATCTGTACCACTAGATCTAGTGAGTTATGCCAGTTATCAACTTGTTGCCTCTCGGGCCCAAATTCAGTCTTCACCCTCTGTTCTGCAGTCATTGCTTCCAGCTCAGAATACCTCTCCCTGTCAGCAAGTTCAGTGCACAGCTTGGTCGGTAGAGGGCGATGCTGAGACACAGAAGGAGCCAGGGCTTCTGGAGAGGGAGGCAGATCCCTGCAGCACCAGTTCCAGCCACAGGCACCTTCAGATCACACAATGGCAGAGCCCACAGCACTCAGAGGCCATTTGCAGTATAATATCTGGAGCTCAGCAGCTCTGAGACTGCAGCTCCACAGCCCTCACAAACCATGCATGGTGTTGATTAAAATCTCAGGGTTCCTTAGCCTAAGGTGAACACCTGTGTTTGGTCAGAGTTCTCTATGTTCCTTACTTAACCAGTCCCTGTTAATTTAGTCCTGGGTTAAGGCAAATGACAGTATTAAGTTGTCCTCCAATGTCCCAGTGGTAAACTTCCCCATGGTTTCTGTCTTCTCACTGGACTCCGTATAATACTTAATACCTTTCTCATTACATATCAAATCAGATAAACAAAAATATCTGAGCCTTGAGAGGTAGGCTGTGTTTATGTTTTAATGCTAAGCTATTTTTATTTTTTAATTTATTTAACTTATTCAATTTAAATATTTATTTTCATATATATATATATTTGGCAGAACTGGTATTGAGTCTAGGGCCTTATGAATCCTAAATAGACACTTATCTTTGAGCTAAACCCCAAGCTTTAATTCTTATTTTAAATATAAAAATAACAGGACATTATAAAACAAAAAAAAATAGTACAGAAAGAAGAGAATGAAAAGCAAGAAAGCCTTCCATGCACTTCCCAGAGAAACCAAAGCTAGCATTTTTTATTGTTATAACTGACAAATAAAAGCAAACATATTTGAGGTATAGCAACACAGGTGCATAGGTAATTGTGCTGGACAGCTTTAGCGTCAACTTGACACACCTGGGTTGAGGGAGCCTCAACTGGGGAACTGTCTCCACTGGACTGGCCTGTGGCCATGTGTGTGGGGCATCTTCTTGATTGTTGAGAGATGTGGGAGGGCCCAGCCCACTGTGGGTGGTGCCACCCCTGGGCAGGTGGGCCTGTGTTGCATAAGAAAGCAGGCTGAGCAGGGGCCAGGGGAGCAAGCCAGTAAGCAGCATTCCTCCATGGCCTGTGCTCCAGATCCTGCCTCCAGGTTCCTTCCCTGAGTCCCTACCTTGGGCTCCCTGAGGAACTGTGACCTGGGAGATGTAAGGTAAACTCTTTCCTTCCCAAGTTGGTATTGGTCAGAGTATTTTGTCACAGCAATGGAGAAACAAACTAGGACAGTAATGCTTCTATATAATAAAACAATATATGATTATCATAATCAAGTTAATATACCCTGAAATCCTTATTAGAGCAGATTCCTAAGACCATTAAATGTGGAACACTCAAAAGCCTCCAGAACAAAAGCAGTTTTCTGTAAACCAGTTTCTTCCTTACATTTACAATGATTATGAGATGATGTAAGCAAGCTCTGCTATACCAAGGCTACTGATACAAGGACCTAAAAGACTAAAGAGTATCTTCTAGGGGCTGGAGAGGTGACTTCACAGTTAAGAGCACTGACAGCTTTTGCAGAGGGCCTGGGTTTGATTCACAGCACTCATATGGCAGCTAACAACCACCTCTAACCCCAGTTCAAGGGGATCCAATGCTCTTCTGACCTCCATGGGCATTGCACAACAAGGGTGAACCTACCTACATGTAGGTAATACACTCATTCACATATAAAAAAAAAAGTATCTTTTGGAAAAGGTCATCATCGTCCTCTAGTTAAGGCAGCTCTAGTTTTATCATGTGCAAAACTGATTCGGTCCTTAAACTGGTTGTTACTTATCTAAATCAAATACTTGTTTTGTGCTGTGGCTTTTACATAGAGCCCTGTTCCTTTCTCCAGCCCCTCCCTGATGACCTTGGTAACAGAGGGGTTCACTGTATGAACTTTATTGAAGCGGCAGTCTTTAGACAAGAGGATCATACAAGACTGC